AAAATGTATTTTGGAATAGTAGTTTTTTGAAAAATGTGTAGTTAAAAAAGAAAGATTTTTTTTTTTAAATTTATGTGTAATATTATTTTATTGGAGAATGCATAATTAAAAAGAAAAGAAAAAATACATCAAATAAAACAGAGTAGAAGTATGAGCTTAATAATCCGAAGCACAACCATCACTATACCACCATCGAAGTCAATAATCACCACCACAACCATTGTTCCAACCAAATTTGTACTAAGATAAAAAAGCCACACACAAAGTTACCATAACGGAATAACCACCTCCCTATCTCACCACCAAGACAATCGTCACCGTTTTATTTTATATTATTTTTCTTTTCCTTTTTCTATTTTTCCCTTTCATCACCAAATCTGCAAAAAATTCAACCTCAAGCCACCACAAATCCATTATTGATGATGCAATCGGATTCTATCGTTGTCACCACCTCTTTTTTCCTCCACATCGTCGCCATCGTCGCCGCCACCACCCCTTCCGCAACCGTTGACGACGTGTTCAAATCTAAAATTAGAAATTGATCCTCTAAGCGGGACCGACACAATGGGTTCTCGGAGGTCACATAACCCTCTGGGATTTTCTCTTTTCTTTATTTTTTGGTTGATAAAATCATGTTTGGTATGTATTAAAACCTAATTTTTAATCTAAATCAAAATTAACAATTAATTTTAATAATATATTTTATAGGTTCCACAACTTTTCAACTTATATCAAAATCTATTAAAAATCTAATTTTAATCTTCACTAAACTGGGACAAAATTACGATAGATTTGAACTATTTCTCTTTTCTCTTACGCTCTCGCAACTCTCTTCTTCACGTATTTTATAGAAACATTAACCTTTCTAATTTTTAAAAATTTGTTAATTATCACATTTACTGTAAATTTTCACTTCCCAATCAAATTTTCAACTAATTAGGGGGACGGTTGAGCCCCATTTTTTGTAAATTAATTTTTTAAAACTCATTTTCAACCACGCATTCGTCAATAAAATAATATTACACGTAAATAAAAAAATCTTTATTTTTAACTACACATTCTCCAAAAATCATTATTCAAAAATGAATTTTTCTCTCAAAATAAGGCTCAAACAGGGGCTAAAACCTAAATTTGCATTTTCTCCTATCAAATTGTGTATATAAAATTGGCATGAAATGATTATGTCCAGTTTGACTTATATTTAACGAATTGTGTTTATTTGATTAATTATTAATATTGAATATTGGTTATATGTTTTTCCTTTCTATTATTTGAATTTAGTATTTGTATCAAATACACTATAAAT